ATCAGACAAAGAAAATGGCTCTTATATCAAGAAGAGCATCATAAAACTGACTGAAGTATCGTCCAGTGACAACAATGTAGCAGGTGTGATTAGGCTGTTAAATGGCGAACTTCCGAGGAATTCAGTTGGTAAAAAAGGACAGGTTCTGTTTCACTCGGTTATTTCTGGATACCAATGCCAAAATTTATAGCTCTTGGAACAATATACCATCGTTCCACGCAAAACTATAAACATGCAAAGGCAGGAAAGTACACAGTAGTCTAAACAGTAACTCGATAAAAGTGTGTGTCACTGTGCAAATATTTTAGGCTGCAGTAAGAAGTCGTCATATAGAGAGGAGAGAGGGGATTAGGGTACCGCAGACAGAACAGTAAATCGTTGGCTACCAAACAATCTTAACGCCTGCCTAGGGGTTGGGGCAGGATGACCACCATTTACCCAACTTGTCCCGAGAGTACTGTAAGTGCTAGCTGCATAGGGGTTGTGGATATTCTAGGAAACCTGCTCCTCGTCCCCACACAAAATCTGTCTGATTCATCGATCCTCTCTGCCAAGTCTAGAGATCCTCCAGTCCGATGATTAAATTTTGGGGGATAGAATTGAGTGTGTGTGAATTGTCCCATTAGACTATTATACAAAACTTGCCTAGTTATAAGAACTAGGCGAATTTTACATAATAGCTAGAGCAGAAAACTCCGTGCGATTAAATATTCAACGTGCAACCTGAGAGCGTTGATTCTGGAGACTAGCTTCCTCTTCAACTCCTTACCTGAAGTGGAAATTGAATCAGTGTCTACGGCTGGAATACATTTACGTTTTTGTGAAGTCTTTTGACGTCTTCAAACTTTAGCTTATCCTCACAGTGAAGTTCAACATTCTAAAAGAAAGTCTAATATCTTATCTAAAATTGTGCGAACACTTTTTCCTAAGCGAAAAGCTTTTTTTAATGCGCAAACAGTTGCAAAAATCATAGAAAAGACAAATAAAAACTTCTTTTTTCGAAACATATTAGGGCCTATCTCAAATTCGTCACTCTTAAGAAAATCATTATTCGAATAGTTACCGAATAGCAATCTTCGTGTTACAATAAATTATATTATTTAATACGTATAGGGAGGAAATATTTTTCTAATAAAACAAAATTCTGATTTCTAAATTTTCATTTCGAATTGATTTACAGAATAATTTCAAACATAACACTGTTTTAAAGAATAATTAATCGTGGTAAATTATATATATATATATACCAAAATATAAATCTATATTACGTTATCTATTATTTATTATATAATATACACACGTTTTAATATTTATTGCACATATTTAAGGGAAAATTAGTTACGTATGTTCCTAATTTAATGATGCAAGCTTAAATGTAATTTGATCAAATTGTAAAATTGCAAATTATTGTATAAGTTACATGTTGAACCTAGCCATAGAGTTTACGAACGTAAATTTTCAATAAAATTTGATACGTATATTTGATATACCTTGAAATAAATGAAAGAAAATGTAAAATATTTATCAACGTAAATAAATTCGATTTTACGGTTCAGCAAGTACGTTATTTATGTAGTATTATTCTCATTGTTAATCAAGAATTAACGATGTTAGAGAATAGTTTTTAGGTCAGATATTATTCATTACATTTAATTTGAGATATAAGATAACATATTTACTAAAAGAAAAATGTAATAATAACAACACAAAGAATTTGGGAAGTATTATGTATAACCTATCAAGCATTGAATCTGAAAATATTACATTAACCTAGACAGCAAGATGACTTTATTAATATACTTAGGAAGAGAATGTTTATAAACAACACCAAGAATTTTGATATTTAATATTGTTTATAGTCTGCTATTAATTCTATATAAGCAACATTAATATAAATTTTAGACAAAATGCTATATTCTTTATTACATTACTACATTACATTATTATAATATTATATTGTCATTCTACATTTTATATGTATTAAATTATATCATCGTAACATAAATAATTTTCATATTGTTTATTATTAACTTTGCAAATGTACAGGACAATTTATACATGAAATGCATAGAAATTAGTGCAAATTTCTTAAATATAAAATTACTTTTTCTCAAATAGAATTAAAATACCGCTTCGTATTGATTTTAATGCAATTTGTTACCAGGAATTGCACAGCTCTAACGCAAATACTATAAAGACAATCGGTTCTTGGAAGTTTTGGGAGTAAAATTCTGGAAATTCCTTTAATATTAAATTGATAAAATTTAGATTTGATTTGAAAGCTGTCTAGATGATAAATGCAATAAAATCATTTTCAAAGATTGAAGTGAATATTTTTGAAAAAGTGAATATAAACCTCATAACCATATTATAGGTTTGAAGAATAGAATAAAATAGTAGAATCAACAGTTCCAGCAATCTTCGTGCCAAGATTTATGTTGAAAATTATGATTCACCAGTCCTGCCCTAAAACATTTACATTTTTTACCATTCGGTTCCTTGAAAAAAAAAAAACTGTTAACCGAACTTCAATTTCGAACAAGACAATTTCAATTTCGTACGAAAGTCTTTTTCGTACATGATCTTTTACGCATGCCAAATTCGGACTTTCATACATTTTCAGTTGACAAAAATTTTAAGCTTTGTTTTCTTCCAGTTTTGGTTCCAGTGACTTAAAATTATTTGTGAAAATTAATTTTTATTGCCTGTTTTCTATTTAGTATGTGATTTTAATGAATTATATAATGTTTTAAGCATCGTAACATATTCAGTGAAAAAAACTAAAATTTTCCTATATTAATAAGAGATTTTATAATGTTTCTTTACTTTTGTAGGTACAAAACTTCATTTATAACTTTCAACTCGAGTTTTTAATTAGATAATTTTTGATAACGGCATTGGCATTATATGATTCCTATCATCAAATTATGTTAAAATAAGATTAATATTTTATTTAGAAAAATAACTCGATACATAAAAATACTCATTTGTTTGATTGACTTCATTGAATATCTTTTATACAACATTACAAGCGCTTTAAAATTTAAACGTATTTAAATTACAAAACTATAGCTTGAGAATTCAATCATAAACTATATCTGAATTAATACTATAAATGTAACATTTGGAACTAATATATCAATTTTATATAAGCCTAAAAGGAATTTATTTTCTAGTAAGATGTTTTTACGTAACGACTTAAAATAATTTATTATGAGAAGCTGGATAAAAGTATTGAGCGCATATGATCTTTAATATCGTTAAGAGAATGGTCATATAGGCCTAAGTAAACATTTTTATGTTTGTTGCAAAAAATTATACTAAACAGTAAATGAGTAAAATTAATTGATTAAAATTCGAAGACAGGAGTCGTCATAGTCAATAAGGAAAGTTACTGCAAGCCACTCTGTTCTGTCCACTTTAACCTAATTTTTACTTGTATTTTGCCAATTGCAAAGTTTGGCTCTGGTTCTTGTCCTTCCAAATTCGGAGAAAGTTTGTCTCCTAACTTAACTTTTGACTTATTCCATGTTTAGATTTTAAACCACAATCCGGAGAATTTTCAAAATTGAAATGGTTTTTCTTGATTTCATTCTCCTCTGATGGAATTCGGACGCACATGTCCAAAGTTTTTGACCACGAGATGACTTTTGCCATTCCAATCGACCAAAAGTACACAAAATAATTTCATCTTACTGAGAGATTGACTACGTGCTTAAGGATTTGGTCACGGTGTTAGTCAAACAGTTATGCCAAAATGGTGTTTTAGTAGTTTGGAAAGGAAAAGTAAACTCAATTGATGTCTTGAATGTAATGGCTTTTTTTCTAGAAAAAAACATCTAAATTATTACAAAACGTAACTTAAAATGTAAACTTTTAAACAAATAGCGTACGTTTTATTGAAAAGTTTGATGATCGCACTTTAACTTAGTCGTTATCTTTTAAAGTTCAATCATTTTGTTTAAATATGTATAGGATAGACAAAGAGAAAAACGATTGTCTCTTCAAAAGAATGCTTTTAAAACCGAAATTCTCAAAAATAATTAATATACGTTGTATATATAATTTAAAACTTCAAAAACACTTACCTATAAATAATTTCATTTTTACTTTTCGACTTAAAATCATTTTTTATTTATTAAATTCAAAGCATTACAAAAACGAATTTATATTTTTAATATTTTTATTTTAAAAGAAAAGCGAAATAAATATATTATTACTTTTTATTTTTAATTACAATTTCTTTTCCATTTGATAATTGCATTGCTTCAAATGTCAATACAAAAAACATAAGGGTGTTATATTGTTTATTATCAGTCACGTCGAAAGCAACTTATGTAGACTTTACTAAAGTAGTCAATAAGTTTAACAAATACAAGGCCTATCTATATCTAGCAATTTTATTTTTCAAGACCTCATCTTCTCCATCGGATTAAGTCTGATAGTAAACACAGAAAAAATCGAGATAGTTGAGAGTCTATTATTCTTTTATAAGATGTGCTATAAAATAAAAAGTATATAAAAGGACAAATACTATAAAATAGGCGATATGTTATTTTTCCCTTCATATTTGATTAAATTTGCTCTCGTTTCTTTTTATTTATTCATCATTATATATCATCCGATATTGGATAATCGTTAAAAATTTAAACTTAATTTACAAAAAAATAATTTATTTTGATAAAACATTAAATTAACTTTTTTTAACAGATTTTTTTATAGTTAAAAATTCATACAATCAGTTTCATATATAAACATTTTACTTAAATACATTTGTAAACTAAGTAGTTGCAATAAACAACTGAAAATCTAATGTAAGACTGTAATGTAAACAAGACTGTTTTCGACTTTACAAGTCACAAACAAATTTGACTTGAGTAAAGTCAGTAGATCTAAATGCCCCTGAAGCGTACGCTTTTCGCATAGCTGAAAAGTTATATGGGATAAACAACATTCTGGTGGAAAGTAAATTTCGACCAGATGTTGTATGGACGTGGAAAAGGAAGGGAGCTGCAGGAGTGACAAATGACGTGGCAGACAATGGAGCGACAGAAATATTTCTATGGCGATCAGGCAGACATCGATCTAGTATCTTGTGGTGGGGAATAACCGGCTTCAGTTCTGATTTCGCTGAGGAGACAGAGTGATGGGTCGTTGTTTATCTTGTTAGTTTGTCTTTCGTCTCGGACGAGGTGTAAATCACATATGTTTCAAGTTGTGGTGCAAGAAAATGGATGTCTTATATTTCATACATATCATAACACGAGGTAGGATAAGCTTAAATTCTAATTTTCTTTTGTTCAAATTACATAGCTCCAACTTTGATCCCGATTCATTGCGGATTTGGTTACATGATTGCGGTTTAATTAAACCTATATACATGAATTATACGATCAAATATTGGAAATTAAATGAGTAAAAGCTTGAGAATTTTAACTTCAAATACATAGAAAAAGCATTAATTTTTTAAACTTTTTTAGAAATGAATGAAGACAAAAATTTCATGCAACGAAAACGTACATCGCACATTCAGAAGACGATAGGAAAAAGAACTAGAGATACACGATCCTACAGGATGTAATTATTTCAAATAAATGGCTTTGCTTTATTTTATTACCTTTCTCACTTTATAAATATTTTAGAAATATAACAGAGTTCAACAGCAGAAGCTAAACTGTTGTAGACTATTATAAATGCCGGTCGCATTCCAACTGTAACACCACATAACACAATACACCGCACGCCAATAGCAGTAGTTTCAAATCCAATCGTTTCACCATTACTGGCTTTATTAAACAATTTCCGGTTGCTTGCATGCAGGTATTAAGCGTAACCGTTTCATAACTGATTTATCTGGCCGAATATTGGCCGCGTGTTGCTCTAACAAAACTTTGGCGCAGAACAACCGATCTCCACACATTTTTCGGTGGCAGTGTCCTCGCTCAATGGCCCTCCCGGGGAGAATATTTGTGACATTGCTATTCCCCATTGTGACGAGCCTCTTATTACATTGTCGTCTGCGAGAGCGTAGGGAGAGGACTGACAGTGACAGGCCAATTGACACAGCTTGCCATGCGTTACACGAATGCCAGCTGCATAAGGACGGGATGTATATCCCTTCCCCTTCCCCAATTTGACTCTGTTAAACCACCGACCACATATACTACATTCCTTCGTCCTGTTCGGGACAATCTTCCGCATGGCTGAATCACATCGTTTGTCTAACCCAAAACCAGGAGAAAAGGAGAGGACATTCGTTTTATTTGGACACGGTTGCTGTACCGGGGCTGAAACGAACTGTGTCTAATTACCGAGTTTAATGAATGGCAGATTGGGAAAAGGCCGAAAGATACCAGGAACAAATAAGATCGACTCTATTTTTTTCTTTTTTTTTTTTTTGGTTACTCGCTCCTCCTTCTACTGGACAGAAACTTATCGCTAACAATCTTTCTCGACGACATCTATTTAGAAAATTGTTTCCATTAGACATACTTTCGGTGACAAGCGAAAAATTGTCTTTGCTTAAGAGCATCTTGAATTTCTAGTGACTGTTGGCGTCGACGCGTGGAAATGAAAACCAGTCGCCATTGTCGAACGAACGGAGGGAACTGCTCTGCCAAATGTTAACAGGCATGCGTCCTCTTTCTGTCAAACTTCGCATACGACCTCCTCCGTCTTTTGGCATTACGTAGCTGTCGTTTCCACTCATCATTTGTAGAATGACAACTGTTACGTTACCAAAACTAATTCGGGATGGCATGTTATACTTTTATAGATGTTGCTCCAACCAAAAATTTACGAGAAATAAAAAAGAAGTAGAGCCAAGTTCATAAACTAAAAACATTTCTACGCCTCTATAAACATACATAAAACAATATTAGATCAAAACAGAATTACATCTCGACTACATTACTTGAATTAAATATAGATTACTAGAAAAATATAACGTAAAATAATCTATTTATTTAGGTTTACAGAAGTAGTTTTTATATGAATTCCATCGACATTCCCAGCCACACAAATCGTTTTCACGTAACTTTGCTACTTAGATCTGTAGATATTTTTTAGCTCTTTCTAATTCCGCAAATAGCTTTTGAATCGCAAGATAATACCGTCTTTGCAAAGAAGAAATGTGTACATTTGTACTAAGCAGTTATCTCGCGACATAAGATACGACCGAGCTAAAATCGTTCCTAAAAGATAACGTTCTTCTGATACTGCAGCACACAATCCATAAGAAGAGGCGAACAGGAAGCGCAGCCAGATCTCCCATTTTTCTATTTCTTTTCTTGGTATTGTTTTTGCACGACGAAAATAGTTGTTCTTGTCGGTGAAGTTGTCGCTATGTCAAGTCTGTAAAAGAGATAGTTTGCGAAACAGCAATAGAAAGCCTTTCTTTTATTTACGCCTTATCTATCAAGATATCTTTGAAGATATTACTTGCAGCGTCGTTTAGTCGTTACTGTGCTAAATTAACATCATTAGTATTTAATTAAAAGCACTAACTGATTTCTTTTAAAAACGAGATGCCAGATAAATAAGAATGGAAACAAAATTTATTTTCTTACTATTTTTTCTACTTTTTTTTTTTTTGGTCTAAAAACAGGATTCATATCATGGCTTACCTCACCTTTTATCTAAAAAGCATTTATCTTTTGTTATTTCATACGTTTTTTTAATCTAAAGCAAGCATTTATAACTTTATTTTTACTTTAAATATTATTTTAACACTTCATTATTAGTCTGTAACCTTTATTGTCTAGTGTGTAGGCTATACCTTTATACTATTAAATGATATATGGTTTTATCTAGTCCAAACATGAAAATGAGATATGAAACTAGAAAATAAGACAAGAAATTACACGATACTTTATTTATTTCAGTTTAAAATCATTATTCAAATCTCTATTTCATTCATTTGTTTCACTCTAAAAATATTCATATTATTTACTCGAAGAAACTTTGTTCCATAAAATAAAAGCATTTTTATCTATAAAATTTATGATTTTGTTATTAAATTTTTAGATATTCTTAAAATACAAAAAAAAAACAATTATAATAATTTTTGCGCCTTCTTTCAAACAGAAAAATATTTATGAACCCGTCATGTAATTATTAAGTAGATAATATCTTTAATTATAGCAACAGCCACGTAATTAATTTTTTATTGTTTCCATCTCAATGATTTCTCAACGATTATTAAATTCTAAATTTTAAACTCGAATTCAAAATACGAGTTTCTTCCCCTCTTCTTTCTCCTCGTTATATTTTTTTGCCTTCAGAAAGGCAGAAAAAAAGAAAAATTTGATTTTAAAAGGAGTATAAAAATTGTCGAAATCATGTGGGTTGGTTAAATTGATTAGTAGGTAATATAATAGAAGAGATAATTAACGAAATAAAACGAAATTAGACACGGTTGAACGAAAGTAATTTATAAGGCTCATAAAATAGACAGCCAAGAGTTCGGTAACAAAGTCGTCTTCGAGTGTTTATCTTCAGGGTAACGAAAGGAAAAATGCGATATTTATAGCAATTTACCGAAAAAAAATAATAATAAAATAAAATATAATAACAAGAATGAAAGTAGAAAGCTAGGATAAGTTAACAGCACATCGTTCTATTTGTTATAAGGATCGTTATGGATAAAAAAAAAACTCCTCCTAGAAAAGAAAAATAATGTAAACAATTGAAGAGTTATCGGATCCATTAATAAAAGGTGCTTCATATGAGACCTACGTGAAGCTTTCAGTTCTTACAGACGAATCATTCCGATGCTTTATCTGTTTCTAATCTAACGATTGCCTGTAATGTAGTCTTTGGCTCATCGGTGACCCTTTCTCTGTCTTTGTAACCAGGCTGATAAGGGAAAGAATTAGCTGTGGGGACAGCCCCTCTGACACACACACACACGGGGATAGATAAGTGGACATGACTTTCGGACTGTGAGAAATGGTTCTTTCTCTAAGAGATAAGGGCAACCCGGAGACTCATAGAACACGGCTTTGTCAATGAGCTACCAACTCCTTTAACGGAGTTTCAGTTTTAAAACTTCAATGGATGTGTAAACTATTGGATTTACCATACCATTTATCATTCGCTCGACTACAATAAATATGATCGTTTTAAAAAGTAAAATCGAATTTTGTCTTGCAAAGTTTCGATCGCCAACGTTTTGTGGAAATATGCAAAATAAACATCCATCTTTTTATCTTTTTCGAAATGGCAAATTTATTATTTTTAGTTATTTTTATAAAATTCTTTTTATATGTATTATATGTAAGATTTGTGTACCGTGTGTTTAACTTCTCCAAGATTTTCCATTTGTCGTGTGATTTTCACGTGTTGACTTTAAACACAAAAATTTCCAAGTTACCAAAATTGAACTTGGTCCCTATTTTGACTTCTCAAATCTCCTGACAGATGGTTGTACTTGGCAAATAGTTTGGTTATTCAATATTCTACGCGATTTCCTTATGTTTTCTTCCTGATCTTAACGTCAGATTATCTATTTAAGTAAACCGGATTTTTAATGTTGCCAAATATTTAAAGGCTGATAAGAATAGAAAATTCGGCGAGCCTACAAATTCCTCGTTTTTAAGATAAGTATACACGAATCTACTGTCTAAAAATTTAATCTCAGTTCAACGTCAACGGAAAGAAAAACAGTCAAAAATCTTTTATAACAAACCATATAACGCGAAAATAAGATTATAAATATTAATATCGGCATACATTTGATTATTTTTTTTTATGCCCGAGGATAAAATAAATACATTTATAGTCCCGGGGACTTAAGGATCGTTGAAAAATTTGAAAATTCGTTTATAATTTCCATTTAAAAAATTCTGAAATCCAATTTTATTCGAATAAAATGCCGCTCCAATGATTAATAATGGGATTGATAACACTTATGGATGATTCATGAGGATTTGAAATCTGAAATATTTTTGTTTACGTAGCCAATTACTCGAGATCCTCTTCAATCCTGCATAGAAAAATAAAAGTGACTGGGCGCTCCTTTGAGACACGTCAAGCTGATAGTCGGCCGCTTTAGTTATTTCGATAATTCTTTAACATATATCTCGAAAAGTGTGGCAATGTTGGCGGATGAAAAATGGAAACATTTTTAACTGTATGTTTCTAGAGTGTTATTCCTCTGTGTCATAGTTCGTTAGACACTAGTTTAAACGACACAAACATTCCCAGAAACGGTGCCAATCTATCACAGAATGACATTAGAAACTCGTTGGCACGCAAAAAATAAGAA